GCCTCGGTCATTTAGGGGTTAAACTAGTAACTTTTTTCCTACCATAAAATACATAATAATTAGAACTTAACCCTTCTTAAATATTTCCAGTTGTTTGGCTGTATCAGTTTAATTGCTACTACTACCCAAGGACTGACCAGCATAAAATAAATTAAATAGACAAATCCCTTTGGCGTTCCCAGTTGTGGTGAAACTACAAATCCCATGAGGCATTGCAAGAGTCACACAGGCATGACTACCAGAGACAGATGCATCATGGGATTTTAGTTTCACCACAGCTGGAGTGCCGGAGGCTCCCGACCCTGCCTTAGGCCATACAATTCCCAACCAAACGCACCATGTTTTCAACATTTATGGAAGGCCTTTTGTGCTTTTGATATATATTGTACTTCTGTTCCTCTGTTCTCTAATTTAGTAAAATAACATTTATCTCCATTGTTTGGATGTGGTTCGGGTTGTGAGAGTATATTTTAGCCCCTGCTTATTTTTTTTGTAATCCCGGACTGATCCCATAAGGGTGCACTGAGTTCTCGTTCCACCTTCTGTACATGACTCAGGCAGGCCATCATAAAAGCTTGAGATCTTAAGCCCCCATTCACACTAGAAAAGGCCGGCACATACAGCTCCGTCCTGTGTGCGTGGCCATATCGCTGAGCTCCCGGGAAGGACAGGTGCTGCATGTGATTTAGTACGCAGCCTCCCTCCTTCTCTATGGGAGTACGCTCACCCGCCGTGCATGTCCGTGCGGGTGTCCGTACTCGTACGCTGACGGGATGGATCCTGTCTGAGCCAGGAAACATGCGTCCGTATGGACCTGCACTTGGGGTGAGCGTAGGGTGGCCTAAGGCAGCGTACTCCCATAGACAAGGACGGGGGCTGCCTACTAATCACACACAGCACCTGTCCTTCCCGGGAGCTGAGCGATGCGGCTGTGCACAGAGCTGTATGTGCCAGCCTTTTCTAGTGTGAACGAGAGCTAAGAATCAGGTTCTGCCCTTTCTTGTCAAGATGCGCTCTGCTAGGTCTGTGAGCAGAAGTTCACCTAGATTTATGTTGTGTTTTTCATCTAATGCCAGCTATGGATGTAAGGTACTTCTGGCAACTCTTTGAGCCTGTTAGCATTTGTTTGCTGTGCTGCCCACCCATCAGTTGGACTACTTTTGGCTGTCCCCAATATTTAAGACTTGCTGGGTCTTTCAGTGGACGAGATAGAGAATACAATTTTTGAACTTGCTGTAAAATCCTTTTCTTGGAATCCTTTGACAGACATATGTCCTATCTCTCTCTGTTTATATGATGCAGTTGGTACTACGTTGCTACAAAACTGAGGCAGGGTTATCCTATGCAGTGCAGTTTCTTTTTGTTACCAGTGTCCATTATTTCTCAAGGTGGCTGTAAAAACCCAAAGGTTTAAGTCTTCACGTGTGCCCAAATGGACTCCCAGAAAAAAATATGAAGTATAAATATCCTATTTTATGTAAAAAGTGCACTTTGTGAAGTTGTATGGTGTTTTGGAAGCTTTAATTAAAAGTAAAAAAATGTAACTCTGTATTACGGTGGTATACACCAGCAAAGATGTAACCCAGTGCCTTGTATTGACAGGGTTGGTGCATTGATGATCACCATTGCAGGGATGAAGCTTCTAAGATCTTCATATAGCAGCCCCACCTGTCAGTATGCCACATTCATCTTCACAGTACTCTTCTTTACATTTGATTACAAGGACTGCTCAGAGAAACTTCTGCTGGACCTCTTCTTTATTACAATAGTTATTCTACTGTTAAGAGTCGTTTAATGCTTATGTATTGAACATGCGTGAAAGTTTGCCTTTTTAATGATGAATTCTTGTTACACATCATCAGTGTAGCTCTGGCCTAAAAGGTCCTCACTTGATACACTTTAAATATGTTCATTATTTCCCTAGCAGTGCTGTTAATCGCCAGTCTAAAGAAAGATACATGATACAATGACACAGTAGATACATTTTAGTGCAAACTCCATGGAAATTGATTTAGAATTAAAATGAACCCTTTTTATTCCACAAAGAAAAAACAGAGGCACTTCTGCCCTGCAATTAGTTTTAAATGTGCTTTTTTTATCTGGCAACCTAAACACACTGAATTGCTGTGCTAGAGACATGCAAGTTAAAAACATTTTTGTCAACAGTCCCTTATTACCATCTCTCACTACTCGCTTGGCATATGTAAAGGACTTGTCACAGGGAGGGCAAAGGTTGCTTTGATATGCTGCTTGTGATTAGCAGCCTGGCTTCACCCTTCCCTACATTATCCGGTACCCACAGGGATTGGCAGATGCCGGATAACTGTAGTTTGTGGTTGCTTGAGAGTTAATAGTAAAGGCTGTGACAGACTGCAGGCGAAGCAGCGCGGAGCGGTGGTGCGCTGCCTTCACGTGCAGTGCGTCATGTCATTTTCTCCCCGGCCCGTCGGCGTGCGAGAGCTCACATAGCTGAGCGTGCCGAGATGAATAATTTCATCTTCAGCCAATCGGCTCTAGCATAGAAACCCGCGCCTCAGGATGTGACGACTGGCCGGTTGTTACGCACGAGCCGATTGGCTGAAGGTGCAGTCAGCAAAATGTAAACAAAGAATTTAGTTAGCAACTTAGATCAATTTAGTTGCTAACAAAATGTTTTAGTGTTCCCATTTCTATCAAGCAACTGCCTCTTACAGTTTAATGCTTATTTATTGAATATGCTTGAAAGTTCGCCTTTTTAATTTATTCTTGTTGCACATCATCAGTGTAGCTCTGGCCTAAAAGGTCCTCACTTGATATACTTTAAATATGTTCATTATTTCCGTACTATGTGAGAGTCAAAATGGTGACGACCTGTCTTTACACTGCCCATTTTGCTTCCTAAATAATCCTGCACGGATTACAGTGTTGATGCCGACATGAGGGGCAACAGAAAGAGCAAACAGCTTCAACTGACCGGTTGCCATATCTGTAACTGGTACAGAGGAATCTCATGGGACTGCGGATTAAGTCAAGTATATGTAGGTTTGGGAAACCTTATTTTAAAGCAGTAAGTATAGATTCCCAAAGAGTGAGTGGAGTGGGTAACCAGTTGTGGGTATTTATTTTTACCTGGCTGGAGTTTAGCTTTATGTTGCCTGATTATTTTTATTTCTGTATATTCTAAATTCTTTTTTAGAGCAAAAATGTATCTGTTATTCTAATGGTATTTTCTCCTTTCACTTAATATTTCAGCTTTGGGAGCTGTTCTACAAATTACGTTTTGTCTACACGTACATTGCTCCATGGCAGATTACATGGGGATCAGCATTCCATGCCTTTGCCCAGCCATTTGCTGTACCTCGTATCCTTCAAAACGTTTACTATTTTCATGAATTGTTATAAAGTAATGAGTTGGTAAAACATACAGTGATGAAGCCAAGTCTGAATTCATGCCAGACTCAATTTTTCTTGCTGTTCTGATTCATAGCAGTGAAACCATTTGTGTTTTCTATTAATCTATTTTAGGCTAACCTTTATCTTAAAATAATTTTTCATTTTAACCTTTATCCTTAATTTTTAATGCTCATAAATTAATTCTTGTGTTGGCATGCTCTGTTTCAGCATTTAATCACAAGATTGTCATCATTTTCTTTGTTGTGCAAACTTATATACTTGCAATTTACCGTATTTTGCTCTCTATAAGGCGCACCGGACCTTAGGGCGCAGGCAGGTTCTGTGGCTGTTTCTGTTACAGAAGCTGCAGTTAGTGATCGCTGAGACAGGTGGCGCTGTGACTACAACGCCACAGTCTGTGTTCACACAGAGCAGACGAAGAACTAATGTTCGTCGTCTGCTCTAGGTGCTCTATGGTGAACTCCTATCCCTTGGTCACGGGCCCCCCAGAGCAGCGGGGGACCCGAAAACCACGGCTGGGGGGGGGGGCGAACTCGATCACTTGTACTAAACAAGCAGCGGCTCCCACTGTACATTTAGCTCTGCTTTAGCAGAGCTAAATGTACAGAAAACTATTCGCCTGGGGCCCGAAACTGCATGTTCCGGGCAATAGGGATTCGCTCCATAAGACGCACACACATTTTCCCCCGACTTTTGGGGGTGTGTCCTATGGAGCGAAAAATACGGTACCCTTCTGACTGTAAAAAATCACTGCTTGTTTATACCCAAGTGAATCTCACATTTTGGATACCACTTTGAAATATCTGCCAATAGAGGAAAAGCAAAGTCTATGAACTCATAGACTTGCATTATGGGAAGCACAAGCTTTGTGTAGCACCTCTAATCGGGAAACAGAGCGCGTAAACAGCAAATTTTGGCTGCCCGCATGTACAAATAAATAACAATTATTTTATAGAAACAACCTTTATATTGGTTACCACTAATTTATATTTAAAGTCAATTTGGTCTTATACATGCGTGTCTATAAAAATACTGAAAAGACAATGATGGGAATTTATCAGAACTGGAGCAGACAAACTCTGGAGCAGTTGCCCATGCCAACCAATCACCATCTTTTAATTTTCAAACCTTACCTGAACAAACTGAAGAGAAAAGCTGATTGGTTGCTGTGCACAGCTGCTCCAGATTTTGTCTGCTCCAGTTTTGATAAATACCCCCCATTATATTTTCTTTAACCAATCTCCGTAAATATTTCATATTTCGAATATACAGTGGTACCTCGGTTCACAAACTTCGTTCCACGATTCTGGTCCCGAACCAAATCAAACTGTGATCAGACCGCAATCTCGACTAGAGGAAGCCACGATCAGTGTCAGAGCAGGGAAGATGGCTGCGGTTGTGTTCGTCACCCGATGCGGAGTTCACGAACTGAAGTAAAAACCGAATTGTTCGCAAACAGACGTGTTCATGAACCGAGGTACCACTGCACTATGAAAGGTGTTTGTGGAAATGCATTAAAAAGTGTAGATTGACTAAATTGTGCGTTCTTGATGCTACTAAAAAAAACTAGGTGTATTAAAAACAATTTCTATTCATTTTCTTATGTTTTTCAGCAATTCTTGTATGTATGCTAGTCACAGACAGACTAATAACTCTGGTTTTTCTTCAATTGACTATTGTCAATGTTGTACCAGTTGGTGCAGTTTCCTTCCTTAACACCACTGTTCTTTAGATTCTGCAATGCTTTTTGTCCAGGCAATTGTATCTGCTTTATTTTCAACACCTCTGAACCCTTTCCTTGGAAGTGCAATATTTATTACTTCATATGTGCGACCTGTCAAGTTCTGGGAGAGAGACTACAAGTATGTTGAGTAGAGATGTACACTAGGGTTGCACAGATAACAAGTACAGTACTCGGTACAAGTACGAGTACATGTACAGATACTTTTGAGCTCCAAGACTAGACTAGAGAAAAATTAAAAAATTAGGAGGCAGCTGTCATTTGTAAGGAGCACACGGAGCTCCTGGGATTTGTACAGCTCTCTGGTTTAATGTACAATTTTGTTTTTATAAATATAAAAAAAGGGATGCACAGATACCAGTTTTTGAGTACTTACAAGTACGAGTACTGATACATTTTTGTTTGTTGTCATGTGACAGTTTTTCTACAGACATGATTTCAGGACAGCGGTGGAGCGCCAGAGCCAGGTCCCAGCTGCAACCGCTGCAACCCTGGTAGTTCTCATGAAAATGCCAAGTATCTGCACTGGTACTCGAAAAGTATCTGTGCATCCCTAATGTACACTCAAAACTGTTGTGCTCACGAATGTTGGAACAAAACTTTGGTTCACATGACTAACTTCTTTGCCACGCCCACTTGCTATAGTGAATAAGGAATCGGGTAGTTGGTTACATTGTTATCATATGTATGTCATGTAGAACATAACAGGTTTGTTTGTATGAAAGGCTTGTAGTATAAAGATAATTACACAGATAACTGGATATGTTGTGATGTTAAATCAGACCCAAGGACATGATTTTTTTCACTGCCACTGCCTGCCCAGGACCAAGCTGTGTTTACGGCTTACAGAATTCCTGGAATCTTCTGAAACTGTCTTAATGCGGCGGACCTAGCCATACAGATGAATTACTGTTCGTTATTTATGTACGAACAGGACAGGCCCAGCATGTAAACAAATTCTCCACTTGGTGTGCCACCAGCTGGAGAAACTGTCAAAGAAAGTCTATAATTGGGTTCTTTTTTATATAGACTGGGGTATGATACTGTGTGTTACTGCAGTTCCACTTAGGTTTTTATTATGAAAATCCCTCCTTCATATCAAAAAGACTATTGTTGATGTATTTATGATAAAGGGAATTGTGGGTGCCACTTGCACTGTATTAATTGCTACAAAATTTTTTGCAGCAAGTATCAAGTGGGTACTGGTGTTCTGCTGATAAGGTTAGGGTGATGTTTTAAAGTTTTTGTGGATTTTGTATATCCTGTTAAATGCAAAAATAAAATTTTAAGAAAAAATTTAAGGATTGTTAAGATTGGCCAATATAAGACTTTTCAATGACACATCACTAGTGTGGGGAATGTTATTAATAGTGAGCAGGATCAAGGTGACACAAGGAGGGATAGGGGGTATTTTTCCTTCATTATTTTTGGTGACTATAATTTTAACTTTCTGTTGCAGCACAAAGCGTGTGGATCACTCAAATACACGACTGGCCTCTCAGCTTGACCGGAATCCAGGTGTGCAAATCTGTTTACTACTTAAGGAGCAAGTAAAGGCTGGTTTTGGATACTGCTAAGACATTCTGTATACACCTGTGATAAGAATAGTATCTGAAAGAACTGCTTGTGGTGCTGTTGGTTAAACATTCTTTTAAAAAAAGATTAAATAAGTATTAACTAATGAAGAAATAATCCCTGCCTTTGGTTTAGGGTCTGATGACAACAACTTGAATTCAATATTTTATGAGCACCTGACACGCTCTTTACAGCACAGTCTGTGTGGGGACCTGCTGCTTGGACGCTGGGGTAATTACAACACAGGAGACTGCTTTATCCTTGCCTCAGATTACCTGAATGCCCTGGTCCATCTCATTGAAATTGGCAATGGCCTTGTCACCTTTCAGCTCAGAGGCCTGGAATTCAGAGGTAAATAACAGATCATTTCAAATGTGTATGTAATTGCAAAGTAAAAAGTGTTTTTGCTGCTAAGCATGCCCCTATCATAATTCAGATTTTCATTCCCTGTCAATTTTCAGAATAGAATCTGAGTTCTCCACTTATAAAACATGACAAAATGCTGTGTATAAAGTAGCCTTCTTAACACTCCTGTGTTACAACATGGGAGTATTACACTCCTCTGCCGAAGATCCTTATTTTTAATTTAGTATCGTCCCACTGCAGCTCGATATAGTAATACTGTTAACACTTCAAGTTGCAGTTGCACATGGTACATTCAGTGAATAAAGCTGTAAAAAAATGCCTGCAAAGAAAATTGTCTGCATTTTTAATATTTCAAATTTTAAGGCCCCCCTGTCAGCTCTATTCTAAAAAGAAAACTCAACACAACTTTATGTAGGACATTGTGGCTATCGTATACCTCACATTTTGTTATAATAGCTTCTAAACTGGCTAACAGTTCTGAAACATTAAGAGGAATGCAAAGGTCTAGCAGCATGTTAGCAAGATAGTGAAAAAAAAAGAGTTCTTTAGTACAAGAAAAAGTATTGTCAAAATGAATAGCCCTATGTGATTTAATGTTCACCTGCACAATTTTTTTAAATTCCTGTATAAAGTAATTCTGCTATAAAACAAGCAAAAGATTAATTTTTTAACTCAGAAAATCATGGTGAGAATTCTGTTTACTGTATACAAAGACCATCTCCTGAATGTTTAGTAAATAGAAATGATCTAATCTAGGGATGTCCCTATACCACTTTTTCAAGACCAAGTACAAGTACTGTCCCTCATGTACTTGCTAATTACCGATACTTTTTCTTAAAGGGACATGTGACATTTTTTCTAAAACAATACAGACTAATGATTTTAGGGCAGTTTCTCACCAGTGCTGCGTGCATTGGAGGTGACAGGTTCTCTTTAAGGTGACATTAGGGGTCTTTTAGACCTCTAGTGTCACCTTTCTACTTCACTGGATTCACTGAATGTAAATACAGCAGGCAGTGGCTGGGAGCAATAGCCAGCCTGCTATTGGATATTTTAAATTGCAATAGCCAATAGCAGGCTGGCTATTGTACCCGCCCACTGCCTGCTGTCAATCAGCAAAGGAGGGAACTGAAGACAAAGTTCTCAATCAGGTCCTCTCTGCTGATTGACAGCAGGCAATGGGTGGGTACAATAGCCAGCCTGGTATTGGCTATTGCAATTTAAAATATCCAATAGCAGGCTGTCTATTGTTACAAGTGTCAATTCCTTTTCCACTTGATGAAACTGTTTGCTTTTGGTGGTATATCTCAGTGTAAGATGTCCATGCTCCTTATGTGTTTAATAATGCTCTCTCCAGACCCACACAGAAGTTTTCCCTCTCAATGAAAGAAGAGAATGTCCGTTCTGTGTGAAGGCAAGATTTACAGCTTCTCTCCCCGTGAGCACACTGAACGGACATTCTCTTCCTACAATGAGAGTCAAAACTGCTGTGCAGCAAGGAGCACGGGCATCTCACACTGAGATATATCACCAAAAGGAAACCGATTCATAAAGTTGAAAAGGACCCGACACGAAGGAGCAGCAGCTAAGATACAGGGGGGCAGCGGGTGATCACAGCTGCCGTCTCTTCTGCCTTCTCGTGCTGGCTACAAGCGGTCTGTGAAAGGGACACAGACCGCTGCAGCCAGCACCAGCAGGGAGAAGAGACTGTCCACACAACACTTACCCCCACCATGCTGTCACACTTCCGGAGAGGTCAGAGCGGAGAGGGAGCCTCGTTTGGAGGAAAGGTATTCCGGGGGAGGGGCTACGGGGGTCAATGGCCGAAGATAGTTGAAAAAATTTAAACGGCCGGTATCTGATCTAGGCATCGGGGCATTTTCACGAAGTACAAGTACTCCTGAAAATGTCCTGTATCGGCCCCGATACCGGTACTAGCATCGGTATCGGGACATCCCTAATCTAAACTCAGGATTCATATCGATTTTTACTTGAATAAACATACAGTAAACTCTGTTATCCGGTATTCCACTAACTGGAACCCTCATCTAACCAGCAAAAAAAGTCCACTGTGCACTCAGTGTTTTGCTGATCTGCGACCTTCTAGGAGAGGGAGAGAGGGCTCTGCAGCATGGGAGAGTAGAGAAAAGAGCCGAAAAGTGCTGCATTACCCTGGGAATGATTGTCTGTGAACAAGCACCACCTAGTGATCACTCCTAGTACTGCACTATATTGCTCATAGATTACAATATACTGATCTCCAGTCCCAATGTCAGGCAGCCACAATGCATACAGCATTAGAGCGCCTGTATTGCAACACCTAAGTGTGCCTGTTTTGTTTTAATTTGCTTTTGATTACTTTATTTCAATAATAATATGAAGTCAATACAGAGTTGTTATGGTACGGTATAGTATGGAGTATGACATTAGTTAGACCTATTTTTGATAGTAACTCTCAAGCAACCAAAAAATACATTTATCTGAAATCTACCAATCCCTGTGGATGCCGGATAACGGAAAGTTTACTGTAGTAGGTTTACACTTGGCCATGTTTCACCTTTTACATGGTTTGTCTTATGTTTAGTATAATGTATGTTTCATATCAAGTTTAACTAATGGGTATTCATTCCTTTTAGGTACCTATTGCCAGCAACGAGAGGTGGAGGCCATCACTGAAGGTGTTGAGGAGGATGAAGGCTTTTGTTGTTGTGAACCTGGACACATTCCCCACATGCTGTCTTTCAATGCAGCTTTTGGGCAGAGATGGCTGGCTTGGGAAGTCTTGGTGACAAAGTATGTCCTGGAAGGTTACAGCATCACTGACAACAGTGCAGCCTCCATGCTTCAAGTGTTCGACCTCCGCAGAATTCTCACCACTTACTATGTTAAGGTATGGAAAGCCATTCCAGATCCCAAAGAGTTCCTAAAAATGTTTTGAATGGCTGTACTGTAGTTACAGTGATTGTACATAAAGTTGATAAACCTTAAAGGAGAACTATGAGGTGAGTGCTTTTCACTCACCTCGTAGTTCTAGCCGACCTGTGACAATGAGACTGTCACAGGTCAGCTCAGTAGAACAGGAGGTGAGCGAACACATACCGGCGTTCGCTCACCTCTCGATCCTGTCACGGCTCTCTGCCTTGACAGGGGAGGGGCTGGATTCCCTCCTCACCGCTCCGATCCGCCAGCGCTGACTGGCGGAGGGGGCGGGTACAGCTAGCTCTGCCTCTAGATAGGCGGAGCCAGCTGTCAGTCACACTGGGCGGATCCTGGCACAATTGTCGGGATCCGCTTCAGGTGCAGCGTCTCAGTATACCGCGAGCTATACTGAGCCTAGGGTGACGGAAGGACGCTAGTTTGTGTCCTCCCGTTACCCTAAGGAGAACTATGGGGAAAAGCCTTAACCACATAGTTCTGCTTTTAAATATATACATCACACAATATAATGAGTAAAAAAAAAAACACGTTATTTTTTTGGGTTTCTTTTTGTTAGTTTAAGGCTACGTGTTCCCACATACACTTTAGAGAAAGTTTGTGTAAGTTCACCTTAATTCATTCATAATGGTTTGTCAAGATCATGGCTGGAAGTAAAGTTGTCGTCATTTACATAATCATTTAATTTTGTAATAAGAGCAGGATGGTTTCACAAACTTTCACAATTTCTGCCTTGTTATTGATCAATTGACCAGGGCTGCAACTAATGATTTTTTTCATAATCAATTAGTTGGCTGATTTTTTATTTTATTCTTCGATTTTAATCAAATAAAAAAAAAAAATCCATCTTTTATTAAAAATAAAATACACAAATGGAGTGTTACAAAAATAAAGTACTTCAGAAAATACATACTCTTTTACTCACCGCCCCCTATGTGACAGCACATTGAAGGGGAGAGGTTCTCTTTTAAGGTGACATTAGGGGTCTACTAGACCCCAAGGGTCACCTTTCCACTTCAAATGAGCTGTTCAAGCACACATGGCTTGAAGAGCTTTAGCCAAAGAACGTAAACACAGCAGGCAGTGGGTGTGTGCAATAGCCAGCCTGCTATTGCAATTTGAAATAGCCAGTCAGCAGAGGAGGGACCTAAAGGAGAAAGTTCTCCACAGAAAGGACATTCTCTTCTTTCATTGAGAGGGAAAACTTCTGTGTGGGTCTGGAACGGGTACAGTAGCCAGCCTGCTGTTGGCTATTTTAAATTGCAATAGCAAACTGGCTATTGCACACACCCACTGCCTTTGAGCCTTGATTCTCATTATCGATTATTATCGATTTAGTTGCTGCAGCCCTACAATCAACACTTGAACAATCTTTTATAGATAAGAACTCAAAGCAATGATGTTGCTAGTTGAGTGCTAGTAGAAGTCTTTCCTATACTTTTATATCCCTTATTAGAAAGTTCAGATGTTTACTTGCTGTGTAGCATGTGCTGAAAGATTTGTTCTCGAATTCCTGACCCGTAGCGTATTGAAGTCAATGTGTTGCCAGTTAGGTGATTGTCCAATAAGTACTTTATGTTCTGGACACCAAGTAAATACAAATCTAGGGCTGTTTAGGTCTGTTTGCTGAAAATCAATAAATACTTTTAGAAAAGCATCTTTCTGTAGATTTGAGGCAGCTTTGCTGATCATAATCTTGTGTATCTAGAAACCTATAAAAGCCTGAAAAATACAATGATTCCATTCTGTTTGAATGAGTACTCACTATAATTCTTTGTCTTAGGGCATTATCTATTATGTAACAACCTCACCAAAACTGGAAGAGTGGTTAGCCAATGAGACAATGCAAGAAGGTCTTAGGCCATGTTCTGATCACTGTTATGTGGATGTGGACCCCACTTTTAATCCAAATATTGATGAAGATTATGACCTACGTTTGGCTGGCATTTCTCGGGAGAGCTTCTGTGCAAGTTACCTGAACTGGATCAAGTACTGTTCTTCCCGGAGAGAAAAGGTGAGATAAATGGTGCCTTGACATGTTATATGTAGCTAGAGCTTAAAATATATCCAAATCCAGGAACAAAAATGTAATATATTGCAGCTTTACCAGTCTTTAGATGTATTGGCTTCATTCATTTTTCCTGTTAACACTAGATCAAAAAATGGAAAGACTGCCACTTTAAGGACATAACCACTCACACCTTCCAGTTTCACTTGGTGTCCTTTAGGACAATGGATGGTATTCTCTTCTGGTTTATTATTTTTAGCTTATTAGCTTATGTTTCTTCTTTGAAGATTCTACTAACAAGAGCTACTAGTTGATTCATACCAGATATTGTTAAATCCTGGGAGTCTCTTTAGCTGGCCATCAAAACCTGAGAGAGTCAAGCCGGATAAGTAAAATCCTGGAACTTTCGCTATCATGAAGCAGGTCGTTTCTGGTATCAGTAATTCTGCTTCTGTTATGTCGGGTACAGGGTCATGGAGTTGTGAGTAAAAAATGTATTTACATAATGTTTATAAGGTTGGGTGTTTTCCCTCCTTTTTATTTTATCTGGGATGTGTGCATTTATTATTATACAGGATTTATATAGCGCCAACAGTTTGTGCATCATTATTCATATATATATATATATAATATATATATACACATATATATATATATATCTCCCTTTCTATGATGGGAAACCTTTTGTTTATCATCTATTGCTTGCAGTCTAAGCCCCAACCATTTCTTCTCAGATGTCCCAGGCAGCAACCATTCACCCAATATCCCTGTAAAAGAGATTTATTTTTGTTGGTGTGAAACCATGGGGGCTTTTTCCCCACGTGCTTATCTTGTCTTGCAAATGTTGTCTTTCCTTTAACTTAGGGTAGATCAACGTTTACCTCTAATTACCATAAAGGGTCAGATGCCTGCCTATGCCTTTTTCGAATGCTTCTAATTCCTTGATTGGTACTTTTTATGTAGGTGTGGCTCCTCCTTTTAGGTCTTTTCCTCTGGGATTTAAACTTGGTTTTAGTTCTACAAAAACCTCCTTTTGAACCTATCCGAGTCATTTCTTTGTCTTTATGTAAAAAGATTGCCTTTATTGTGTCCACTACCTCGACTAAAAGGGTTTCCGAGTTGTCTGATTTTGTTTTAGTGGAGAACCTTTTTTTTAGTTCTTCATAAGGATAATGTTGTTTTAAGACCACATGTTTCCTTATTACCTAAGGTGGTTTGGGCTGCTTTTGAATGTCCCTACGTCTCAGAATTCTTCAGAGCCCTCAATGGATGATCAAGAAAATAATAGGATTTTGTTGTTAACATAAAATCTGTTTCTTTTATACCATTGAGGGACACGGATCCCCCCCTCATTTCCTTTCAACTGGTAGGTGTGAGATGGAAGGGGTTATGTCCTTAAATTGGCAGGCTTCTAATTTTTTTGCCTAGTGTCCATTACTTCTGAAGGCAGCATAACCCTACAGCTCAGAATTCTTCAGAGCTGTGTCCTTCAATAAACTCCAAGAAAAGGATTTTATGGTAAGAACAAAATCCTATTTATTTATTTTTCCATTATTTTAACCTGGTGATCCTGCCAGTAGCACATCTTATGTCCTAGAATAACAATGCCCATTTAGTGTACTGTGTCTGTGGAGAAGAAGGGTGAACATGGACAAACTGGTTTCTCACCAATAACGACTTGCTTGCAGACAACTTCCGGGCCTTGATTGCACTGGAATCCAAAGTGCGGTACCGTGTGCGCTCGCTGCAGCTGAGAAGAGGAAAGCACTCGCCTTGTTACACATAGATTTCCTGACTAGTTACTAAATCTCGATCTGCAACAACAAGTGCTTCCACTGGTGGAGTGGCACATAATGGACATGAGGTCCTGTTGGGGCTTTAAATTGGGAGTGGAATTAGCCCTTTTTATCGCTGCATTAAATGAGTAGTAAACCATGCTCCCATATTACCAAATAATGTACTAAGCATGGTTAGAATGCCATTGTTCCTGAATTGTTACCCATGGCACCAAATCAACAACTGGCTTGTTTTTCTCACTAGGATACATTTAGCAAATAGCTGATAGGAATCATCTGTTTTGTTGTGTTTTAAAGAGTAACTCCACTTTTGTTGAGGAAAAAAAAAATCAATCCTCTCTGGGTGATCACTGTACACTTCAAGGATTTTAACCAACTTTGTTGCAGTTTACTACCTGTTTCTGTTCTGAAGAAATAGCTATTTGCTTCACCACGTCCTTTCCAAACTGATTATAAAAAAACACAGAACATCCCATTCAGTGATCAGCTAGTGGGCTTCCTGTGTTGTAATAGGAAAAGGTGCAGCGTCTGCATCACTTTAGTAGTAATTAACCCTTAGGGAAGAGAAATTCCCACTGCAAGGGATGCCTAAAGTTGTACTTGTATCTTAATGCAGACTTCTGGGGAAATCATACAGCCAATGACATTTCTGGAGGGGTTATGTACACCAACCATGTACAGAATGTCTCCAGGTCACCATATATCATTGAAATTTTTTTGACAGATTTAGAACATTACAGCAGCTGCCGTTTTTAAATGGAAAGGTAATTTTAATAATTGCAAAATGGTGTGCGTAACAACTGAAAATTTAACCATACTTACCGTAATTTTCTTTTCCTGGTTATACTCCATGGCAGCGCTGACCATTGGGTGTTAGCTCCAATTACCCCTAGATGACAGGAACCAAAAGGGTTAAACATGACCTAATTATATATACTTTATATAAAACATTATTTTTTTTGAAGTGGAGTTACCCTTTTACTGATTTTTTTTTTTTGTGGATGCATATAACAAATCCAAGTTAACATCATGTTTAAAAGTTGTTTGGATCATTCATGTTGTATGTTTACAATGTAAACATTTTTATTCTTTCTGTTAGCCTATTGATGCAGACAAAGATTCCGCCTTGGTCACTCTGTGTTATGGCCTTTGTATATTGGGAAGAAGAGCCCTTGGAACAGCTTCTCACCACATGTCTAGGTAAGTTGAATTTACCATCACATGCACAAAGTAATTTCTGGGGGCAACCACAGGATAACAGCACAGAATTAAAAGAGGATCCCCTACACACCCACAGATGCATTTAAATGTGTCTTAAACTATATCTTTACCCCCTTTGGCTAAAATTCATATCAGCATATAGCTCTGCATGCTGATATGAAATCATCATTTCAGCCAATTGCATTCATTGGCTAAACCAAAAAAAAAATTTTACTTAATTTTCTTTTTTTTACCATTTCCTGGTCCACTTTGGCTCAAATTATGTACTTTTGCCCCAGCATTGCATCCTGGGAAGGTTACATCAACAGAGGATTGCTGGGAAATCTGTAATCTTGTGAGATCTCCAGGAAAGGATGATATGCATGGTCTCATGTCGTAGTCACATATGCCAGAGTTCCAGGAAGTAAGGGGAGATCTAGTAATCTGCCCTTAATTCAAATGTTCATTGTCAGAAGACTGGGGAGTAAAAAAAAATATGCAAAGAATAAAAAGCCTGCAATTATCTCAAAGTATCTATTTGTATATTCTAATTTCTAAAGGTGTATTTGCTGTTATTTTGAAGATGTGGGTAAAGTTCCTCTTTAAATGTAGTTGTGTAATTTACATTACAGCAATTTGGAGTCATTCCTATATGGTCTACACGCCTTGTTCAAGGGAGATTTCCGCATTTCGTCCATCCGCGATGAATGGATTTTTGCTGACATGGAATTACTCAGAAAGGTGGTAGTCCCTGGAATCAGGATGTCACTAAAACTTCACCAGGTATGCAGAGCAACATTATTCAAAAGTTTTGACTGGAGCTTTTGTTGTCCTGTCTAGCTCTTTGATTGTTATGAGGAAGTTTCTTTGTTGGTTGGTGCCTTTTGCAGCTATTGGATATATGTAACGAGGTGAAGCTTTTTATACGTTTTCCCATTATAAAGATGCTGAGTGATGATATTTGATTGCCCGACCAATGCAAACACCCGTTACCGGGTGTTTCACATATGGACGATCGGCGGCTCCATAGCTCGCCGATCCTCTATATGTGCTAGTTTTTTCGCCCCCCCCCCATAGACCCCTCACCTTCAATCCCGGGATCCGCTGCCCCATATCGCCTATATGTGAAACACCCGGTAACGGGTGTGTTTAATCGTCGGGTCTTTTCTGCCCGTGCGTGCCCGCTAGGGGGCGCGCGCGAGCAGAAAAAAATTTCCGTTAATATAGTAAAAAATAAAAACCCCAGTGGTGAATAAATACCACCAAACGAAAGCTCTACCTGTCCCCAAAAAAATGGTATAAAATTAATTTCAGTACAGCGTTGTATGAAGAAATAAACGTCAGTCAAAGTACCGCAGCGATGAATACTGAAAAATGGCCTGGATGGGAAGGGGGTTTAACACCGCGGTTGTCAACTGGTTAATGTGTTTAATCATATCTAGCTCCCTCCTACAAAAGTGGGTTTCTGGAAGCAGTAGATAAGTTTTGATAAAAATAAAAGCCTGTGTTAGAATGTAATTTATTTTTTCTTTTGTTGTAGGACCACTTCACCTCTCCAGATGAGTATGACGACCCCGCAGTGTTATATGAAGCCATCATGAATCATGAGCAGAATTTAGTGATTGCCCATGAAGGGGACCCAGCCTGGAGAAGTGCAGTCCTCTCAAATTCTCCCTCACTGCTGGCCCTGCGGCATGTCATGGATGATGGAACCAACGAATATAAGATCATCATGTTGAACAAGCGCTATCTCAGTTTCCGGGTTATTAAGGTGGTTTCCTCAGCCATATCTTTTCTAGTTCTGGAAAGCAGACTGTACTTGCAGGAAACTTGTAGTTGAGGAGTAGGGGGACTGTATTTTTCCTAATATACTAATTCTGGCTGTCATGCTGATCCAGTAGCTTTAGCACTTTATGAATCACTTACCCAGAACAAGTATGCAGTTCCAGAGTTCCAACATCATTTTCACTGCCTACTGGCTTGTTCTGGCAGACCCAATCTTTCTCCCAGTTTGGGTTTCCTTTACCTGTATTGCTGAAAACTACAGCAACCACTCAAATGCTAGTTTATTTTATTAGTGTGAATCTGCAAGCAAGCATTTCATTTGTATGTATTGCAACATATTTTGTTTACTGTAACCATTTTAAATGGGCAATTCGTGTATAATAGGTTATAAATATCTTTTATCCTGGATATTCCCGACAATTTATGAATTGTGTGTAACAGACTAGTGGTTTTCAACCCCTGTTCTTAAGTACCTAAAACAAATCATGTTTCAGAAATTCCCTTAGATTTAAAAGCCAGAACAGTTACAGAACCTGAGAATGTACTTGAGGGATGGAGTTAAAGCATCACCACCACTGCTTGCCATACGTTTATTACCCTCCTTTTAAATTGCCCTGACTCAAATTTTCTTCACAGGTAAACAAGGAGTGCGTTCGAGGTTTATGGGCGGGACAACAGCAAGAACTTGTTTTCCTTCGGAACCGCAACCCAGAAAGAGGAAGTATTCAAAATGCAAAACAGGCTCTCAGGAACATGATCAACTCTTCTTGTGACCAGCCTATTGGATATCCTATTTATGTATCCCCACTGACCACCTCCTACTCTGACAGCCATGACCAGCTCAAGGAAATTCTTGGAGGGCCAATCAGTGTGGTTAATATCAGGAAGTTTATTGTATCTACATGGCACAGGTATAAGCATTAAGTGTTTGATAAAAATACTGAATGAACATTGTATCCAGACACAGCAGTTGAGTGATAGAGACATGACAAAGTTTGTCTTGTGTGGGGCAGAAAAAGTGGAAAAGAAAACTTACCTTATAGCTTTGATATCTTACGTTGAAATGGAAGCTCGTGGTACTGCTGAAAGGAAGATATTGTTTGGCAAAATTGTAATACAATTGAAACAGCCAGCAGGGAATTTAGAATGTGATGACCATGTTTCTTGAATATCATATTTTTTATTTATCATGGAACTGTTGGTGTATCAACAAGGTCGAAATGCATAAAGGTTTTAGAAAACTACTACGGTATACACTGCTAGGTATACAACATAAATCATGAAAATGCAGTGAAGTATCTAACGTGTTTTAAAAGTTCACTTCTCTTTTACACTTCATTGTGCAATTTGAACAACTCATGTAATTTAATTGGTATCCTGTTTTCAAGGTTACGAAAAGGTTGTGGTGCAGGATGTAATAGTGGTGGAAATATTGAAGACTCTGATGCTGGAGGCGGGACCTCCATAAACAGTAACAATCCTTCAAATGCAAATGATACTCAAAGTAGTTTATCACAAGGGGGAATCCCAGGAGGTACAGGACATGTACAGACGTCACGCCTTCAACCTCCAGGAGTCCCCCACCCATCAACACTAGGTAAGGGGTCTTCCTTAATTTTGAAGCCCATTTCCACCTTTGCTGCGGTATTTTTTTTAAAACATACGCCAGCAATGTACACAGACTAAACATGAAGCAGGCATGTGCAGTTGCTGTATATGAACACTGTAACTTACCTTTTTTTTGTTAGCTATCCTTCAGGGCTCCTTTTGAAATGGCTGGCTCTATGCTCCTACAAGCAGTCTGTGTATAAATGAACAGGCTCACTCCAAGCTCTCTCCCTGCATTCATTAGTATTCATGGTGGCAACCCCCCCCCCCCCCCATAGTGTTTTGTGACCTGGAAAGGGAGAGCTGGTGTGTAGTTACAGTGACTCACAGGGAAGAGGTCAGCTGCTTTACAATCTGACCCCAGGCTGAGTTTCCTGTGGAGAAAATTTTCAATTAGTAGGACTCGGGCCTACTAAAAATCTCCCCCCCCAAATGTAAAAAGCCAACAATGTGAGTCATGAAAAAGTGAACACGTAAACGTCCTTACTGCACCTTTACATTACCACAATAAATGCTAATCACTTACAATGGTGGAAATCGGCTTTAAGTCTTTGAGAATGTGTGCAGATCATGTACTTAGACAACATAAACAACATGTCACTGCAGACCTAAGACTGGTCACATACAGTTTAGTGTAATAGCTCTTGCCATGACATTTCACCAAATAGGTAAAGGAGGGAACTTTAAAGTGGAGGTTTATGAATATGTGTGACTGTCAATGTGTGCTGCCATTCAGTAGTTATTTAAACCATAATTGTTATTGGTAGACTTTTTTTTTAAATTTCTGCATGCGAGTTCTCTGTACGAGTAAAGGTGTGTAACCATTCTCAGAATATGTATTTCATTCTGTAATGTTTTTCTCATGGTCATGGTTGGAAAATACATCTGTGCAAACATCCCAGTAAACAGCATATTGCTACTTGAAGCTCTAACCTAATAAGAGTTTAACTACCTGTCTTATAGAAAAGTTTTTGTTCTTCACTATTGTATTTTCATTCAAGCCTTTAATTATTACAGGAACCAGCCACAGTTCCCACTCCATGCAGTCAAGCCTTGTCAGACATTCCCCTGCTCGCGGCTCTGTAGCGAGTCAATCATCTTATTGCTACAACAGCCGTCACTCATCACTTCGGACATCCAACACAGGATTTGTGCCTTGTAGGCGCTCCTCTACCAGTCAGATTTCTCTCCGCAATCTTCCCACATCCATCCAGTCCCGCCTTTCCATGGTAAACCAAGTAGACCCCACATGCCAGTCGGTCGTGGTAGGCCTTCCTTCCTCCAGCAGCTCCAGCCAGAGTATCCCAGCATGCAAGCGGCACACGTTAGTGGGATTTTTGGGAACAGAAGGAGGGAATAACCTCACTGAAACACAATCTTGTGGAAATTCAAGTCCAGCAACACATTCAAGAGCCAAAAAAGAAGATGTTGTATATAGAGTGCAGGTTAGACTATATTTTTTTTGTCTCGGCACCACTTCTGTATTTTTAAATAAACTGTGCAAAGGAAAGGGGTTCAAAGTTCTCAATAACACTGAATGGCTGTTCTTACTTTCAATAGGCATCAATTATTGGCATGTAAAAAAAAAAACATGTTCCTAACCAATCCAATTCTACATCTTTAATTACAGATTCAAATATTTCATTATGATTGAATTTCATTTATAAATCATATTTTATTTCTTTGTAGTTTCCTACACAAAATATAACCACAGTGCTTCAAACTTAAAGAAACCTTTTCTTTTGCCAGTGTTTACAGAAACAGTTGCCAAATATAAACTGTTCAGTTTATAAGCTGCTGGGTGCATAATTGGCGAACAAAAACTCTGCTCCAGTGATTCCATAGAGATCCAGTTGATTCTTTAATGGGTGCTGCCATCTTGCCACTCAGCATAGAGAAGGTGCGGCCAGGTTGTCTGTCACACCCCCAGAGAGATCTGCCCTTCTTATGTGTCACTGCTCTCTGCATACATTGGGTGGGGTAGTAGTTAAAGATGGGGGATATGGCTTTGCTGTTGACCTTTTACAAAACAATGTTGAAATTTACATATAATCCACCTAGGCTTCTGGTTTTGGGGAAAGGAGTATGCTTGAAACAGCTGATGTTACAGATTATGCGCTTATTCAGACAGACATGCCATCAATAAAAAGACCCTATCCCAGAAGGCACAGGCACTGTCGGTGTCTAAGTGCAGGCACCTTGACCCTCGAGTGTGTGTGACATCATGTAATTGCGTACAGCCGCGTCCTCCCATACGAAAGAACAGACTTTTGTGCACAATTTAATGCACCCGTCCGTGATCGGGTCTTTTCAAGGGCGTGCATGCCTGTCTGAATGAGCCCTATGAGGGTACCACTATTTTCACGTGCTTGGGGAATAGCTAGGTTTACTCTAAACATATTCATAGAGAACAATAGCAATTAGCCAGGCAAATGCTGGCAACTCACAGCAGTTTTCAGCCAATTGTAACCACAGGAAAACATATGGGGCCAATGTAATCTACATCCACCACTATTTGATGGTATTGATGTCTCAGTGGTAGATAAAATTTTTGTGTTTTGAAATCTGGTTCAAATTGATGTGTGTCCAGCAAGCCAGAAGATGTTCATGTGTTGCAGTAAATCATTTAGCAGCTGATTTTGATTAGGACTGAATGTCTGAGGCCTCGTTCACACCATCCTCCGAGGCATTGATGTGCCTTGCATTCCCGTGCGGCAGATTGAATTGCGGCCGGAAGCCGTGGCTACGGTGCCATTCACTTCAATGGACTGCCACGCCCCCTCTCGCCCCACAACAAACTGAGCCGGCCGCAATGCGATCAGCTGTGTTCCGGCTACAATAGGGCCGGAATGCACTGAGGATGGTGTGAACGAGGCCTGAGGGGCAAATTGCCTGGTTCACATGGGATTATGCAATTTATGTGTCCCAGTTACTAGGGTTGATGAATTGCTTTGCTCTCTGTAGATTGGCTGAAATGCATTTTAGAAATCCGAGGATTTTAGGCCTCTGGAATCAGATGTACTTGACTACTCAATTGAAAGCAAATCACAAAGTGATCTGCTCATCTCTCGCTATAAAGGATCCTATAAACGAGCCGAGTTCCTTGATCTTTCACATTTCAGCCAAATCTAGTTGGTAACCGGTACATATCTATGGGTCCCCACACAAACCATCAGCTGACTGCAATCGATTAAACTGGTTAGAGAAGCTGTTACTATTACTTTTCATCCTGTGATTAGTGACGGTGGCAGAATTACCATCTTCTTCCTACTTTTCTTGTTATTGACATAAACATACCTGCTCAGCCAAGCATACACTCTGCTGAATGTTTCTGCTTTCATATGGTTTTGTAGTGCCTGTACATCAGACTGCCTTTTAAAATCTATGGCTGCCTTAAAGCTTAATTGTACTTTTACTAAAAATGTATTAGATGAATTGCTGGAGCAGGAATGCTCAACTTTCAAATAACTAGTCCAGTAATACATAACTATTTAAATGTCTCCCATTTATTAGGCTTTTAGTTAAGCTGCATAGCCATTATAAACGTCTCTTCCCCGGGGCAGTATGCTGCCGATGAGGCTAGTGCTCTCAGGGCAAGAGCAGCAGTCCTTCTGCAATAATCCGGGGCACCACTGGCTAGGTCACAGCTATAACACTCCAATCAGCAAAGCTTACTCTCCCTGGTGGTTGCAGAACTCCAGCTGGGACTCGGGTAGTTTGTCTGACCATTCCTCTTGCCATGAATCAGCGGTCTTACCTATAGCCTATTGCCCCAGGAAGAGGTGTTTATAATGTATCTGGATCTTGAATAAAACCCAATAAAAGGAATACATTTAAAAAGTTGTCTTTCTCCTCCATTGAGGGACACAGGAAGTCTTTCATATTCAGGTTTTACTCCTGCCTACAGGAGGTTTGGACACTTTAGGTGCCCATACACATCGCTTTTCCTTCAGAAATCATCCACGAATGGTCTTTTAAACAATAATTGATCAGTTGATGGGAACCCAATGATTTTTTTGCTGTACTGCTGGCCGAATTTCCTCGATCGGTCAGGCTGGAAAACTTTTTTCGTATCAAACGAAAATTGATGGATTAGTGGCGTTTTTGTACGACAAAAATCGTAACAAGAACACTGCACATGTGCAAATGAACATCTGTTCTGTCGATCAACAAAATTCAGTGAGTTAGTATTGCTAACAAACTATTATCGAAATTGACATTGGTCTGTTCTTGATGGGCTATGTGAGCTAGAATCGAAAGAGGGTTCTTGGCAGCAATGAAAATTTCCGATCGAAAATCTATAGGTGTATGGCCAGCTTTACAAATGGGAGAAAAAAAAACTGTATGACAGTGCAAAGTAACTTCTCTACCAGCTTGTCTCCATGTTCTGCTAGTGGATAGACCTCTTTTTTTCTTCAATCAAAACTCTTCTCTACACTGCTGCTAGACCTAGTCTCTCGAATTGTAGCGATTCAGCACAACCATCCTCTGCCTGACTTGGAGTGCTTCATGCAGACACTGCTAGACTGGACATTGGTGAGATAGCCTGGAAGTGATCTTCAGGCACTGGGTTCTGCATAGAGCACTTTCCGGACTCCATTCTCGTAAAAAGTTCGCTATGGAGCACTTTCCATGTCCAGAGCCACTGGCATTGCCTCAGTGCTTGCGTCTCTGAAAACCTGGCAGGTCAGGCTGAGCATCAGGAACTACTAAAGTTACATTCGCCACTGTGTGCCTTTTAAAATTCTGTTTTCAACACAGAAGTTGCTAATGTCATGGGCAAAGCGTTGGCTGGAGTGTCGCGCTCTTACGTGTTGCTTTCAGCTCCGGGACTGTTTGCAGAGCAGCTACTGATCCAAATGACGCAGCCTGGAATCCTGTTGTCCTCCTCTAGAGTCTAGTCAGATGGTTTCTCTGCCCTGTTTGCTTAGGTTTTTACTAGTCATGTAAGTCTTTATGGCCCAAATCACCCAGTTATTTGCTGACTGGGTGATTTGATGCGATGCGCTCTCACTATATAGCAGGCAATGGCCCACTATAGTTTTGGGTCATCGGAGGTCATTAGTGTGACGGACCCCGGTACTCAGGATTAGTATGTCTGCCGCTGTATTCTTCCTTGCTCAGGAGATATTGCAACCCGTGATCAGATAAAAATCCCATCACATCCCCCTTCCCCTCTCCAGACATTCTGTCTTCACAACACCACAGGGGTTCACCTGCTAAATAGCTCCAGACAGCCATAGCAGGAGCCTGGCCAGAATGTCATTGTTCTGAGCTCCTTCAGAGTACAATGGGAGATAACGAGAGCGGTGACCCTGAAGAGAACTATGACCAAAAAAGGTTGGCCCATAGTTCTCTTTTAAGGGGCTGTTGCCAACCTTTCAGTTGCACTGCTTTTGGACATCCCAAAGGTGAAAGAAGTGCTTTGTCCCTCAATGAACATGAAAGAAAATAGGATTTTTTAAATCCCAGGTGGGACACAGGTCCCACCCCTCTGTGTTTATGATCATGCTCTCGGCACTGCTTTGCTTCAGAAGGAGAGCATGCTGGTGGTAGGAGGGGCTGGCCTACAGTTTCTTGTTTTTGCCAGGGTCCAGTCCACTTGTAGAGAATGGTCATAAAGTATTTTACAGTGAGTACAAAAATCATATTATTCCTGCCTCAGCAATGTTTCAAATTAGTTTTGATGAAAAATCAAATAAAAAGTAAGCAGCTGACAGAAAATTCCTTTTAAAAGATAACCATTCACTGACTTGCGTGTTTGTTTTGTTAAATGGCCTTGGGGTCTGTAAACATTTGTTATAGGGCATGTCTTCACTGTAGCCATCATTAAATTAACACACTTTTGCTCTCCTCAGATTGTGGATCCAAGCCAGGTGCTTGAAGGAGTCAATATGTCTAAAAGGAAAGAGCTGCAGTGGCCAGATGAGCTGGTGCGGCTAAAAGCCGGAAAAAATAGCTGGAAGGACTGGAGCCCTCAGGAAGGCATGGAAGGCCATGTAGGTTTTGCTGGTTACTATTAATATCTCCAACGGAGAAACACTTTTTTTGTCCTCTAGGCTCAGTTGTGTAAATGACAATGAAAATGGAGCTGTGAGGACATTTTAAGTTAATAAAGTTTTTTGTTATGATATAGCTAAAGGTGGAAAATGTTGCTCATCAGAGCTTATTAATGTTCCACATATTATGGGTGGGAAGTTTCAGTATCAGTCGATGTTTCGAGTGGGACAAATTGTTGCACTGCTGCTTTAATAAACAGGGAGTAAAGAAGAGCTTTCAGTCATAATTTACTTTAGAAGTTGGGGACTTTCCAGCTGGAGCACACCTTCATAAGTTTTCTACATATATAAATAAGACCACTGTAGTTTGCATTTTTTTTTTCTCCCTTCAATGCATTGGCATAAGCGATGCTGACAGCGGTCTTCGTATGAAAAATCTCGCCCAACCTTCACATGGAATACACACAGGAGGATGGAACCTGTACACAGGAGTACTGTGACTGCCCATTGTCACATACTTTCCAACTTTTTTTTATTCATTACAATTTGTCAAATAAAAACAATATATCCTCTTTTATGTTTTTCCAATTGTTTCAAAGGAGTTCTATCTGCAGTTTGAGCTGGCAACGAAAGTAAAGGCAATGTATATGATACAGAGCTGCTAACGCAGTCTGCCTTGCATTAATGGCTTCCAGCCTGCTATCTACAACTTGCTTCTCTCTTCTAAACATTTCTTTCACAGCATGGTCACCCCTCCTCTCCCCTAGTAACTTTCCTAAAGTGAACCTGTCACCTACACACAACATCATACTGAGACATTAAGCTTATATAATGGAATCCTGTCAGAACGAACACATTGTTACAGTTGACTTGTTTTTAAGTTGCAAGCTCCAGTGCTGTCATCCTGATGCCTGATATGCATTTGCTGGTTTCAGGACAGTGACTAACCAAATCGTAAAGAAAGGCTGTGAATGACAGCAATGGAATGTGAAATTTTGAGAATCCTTGAGGACCGAAACATGGGAGCTCCTGACAGTTTTTGTTTTCATTGTACAGTGATGCTCAGTAACAAACTGTAACCAATTGGTAATTTATTGGCAAGCCAGTTGCTAGGATGCTGAGAGTGCGTCTACACTTTCACTGTTCTTAAATAAACTCCAGGCAACTTCTTTAGGAATATTAAAGGATTTTGCTCTCACCATAGGAACGTCCATTTTATTCTATTCTCTTGAGGCCATTTACAACAACAGTGCCTGAAAATACATGCATATTAAACGCCAAACTCCAGCCAAAACAAATGTCTAGTAAAAGAGGAAATGGTTAGAACCTCTGTTAGATTTTTACTGTCTTGCCATCCTGTTTTGGTGACCATTACATCCCTCATTTCATGTCACACTGTCACAGGCACAGGAATTGAGGTAGAAATGTCTCCATCAGGATCACAGACGGCAATAAAAACTTGACAGAGGGGCAGTGAGAGAGTATGTAATCTGTGCTTTTTAGGAGCCGTTTTGGATACCGAAAATAAAGATTGTCTGTGCAGGAACTGGAACCTGCACTTACATTCCACTGTCCATGCAATCAAAAAAGGTTCTCTGAGGGTAAACCACAGAACTGCAAATATCTAAGGGCTTTCCTATGTTACTGTAAGCACAAATATGTCACCAGCGAGTTTTAATTTGAAAAAGAGGTATTTCAGTGTTGCTTGACAGTTCCATTCTGTTTCAGAACCTGTGTATACTTTATAACTTCTTTTGTCAAAAGGACGTAGTAAAATGCAAGTGACTTTACATGTCAGATTCCTAATGCTAGCCTTCCTCTTTGATCTTGTTCCCTTCTCTTTCTTTCTGTTTTCTTGTATCGGTTTCTACAGGTAATTCACCGCTGGGTGCCTTGCAGCAGAGACCCTTGTAATAGGTCCCATATTGACAAAACAATCCTACTGATTAAGATTGAGGACAAATATGTGGCTGTGATTGAGACTGGGGTTCTTGAGCTTGGGGCCGAAGTGTGAGCCTGCCTTTCAGTCATCTTTTCAAGCTTACAGAAAGGAGAGAACTTTTACTCTTTTGGGACTTTTAAGGGCTCCGATGCAGCCCCAGACATGTACAATGATTTTTCTGAGTTTTTGTTTTAAGCATCTGTGGATGTTCACTTGCATAAAAAAAAATATAAAGCCAGAAAGTTATAAGACCATTATCTTAAATGTAGAAACAAAATAATGCTATGCATTTCATATGCTTTAAGTCAGAAACTTATTGTATTTCTCCATTCAGAATATGATCTTCATATTTTTCTAATTTATTTGCCAAAAATAATTGCCATGTCTCACGTTGTAGCATGTTGTCTTATTTTTTTCCCTTTTACAGTCATTTTTCTCCCAACTGTGCATAGACATCCACTTTTCTGCAAACCGTAAAATATTTTATAAGCAGCAGGAGACTG